GTCAGCGGCAGGCAGCGTCATCGAATACGAATGGTACAGATTTGTGTTTGCACTATTCAAACATAGACATTAGGATGGCTGACGTTTTATAAAGGCCCATAAAGTTTTGACATATTCAGGCGTCTCAATCTCCGTAGGTCTAAATTAAGAGAAAACTATCTCTACATTATTGTTTAATCCAAAGGAATTCGAAAACGAGGCACATGGAAATTTCATGGCAATTTATGGAAATGAAACTCTCAACTTTGACCCAATGTGAGCCACCTTAATATCATATTTCTATATTTCATCAGATCTGTATATAGGTATGTTTGTTTGTGTATTCCAGTAGCACTTTTTTGTTGTCATATTTATGACAGACTTAATCTCGTTTTTAAAGACTCTTTTCATAAATTTATGACCATCTCAAAAAAATAAAAAGAAAAAATGAAGACAAGCCCAACATTCATACATACCTACTTATGTTTGTTATTATTGTTGAAGTTTTGGAAATGCATAAAGGGGAATTGTGATAAAGAAAAAAAGTGAAAGACATGTACCTACATCTGTAAGGGGCTCTACCATTGTCTAGTTATATTTTATGATATATCAGAAGTAAGAGGATTTCCTTTTTAACAGTCAAAACATTATTTAAGAATATTTTAAAAACTGAAAATTTTATTGAATGAAAGCAAAAAATTCCGGAAATAGCATCAAACTTTAAAATACGTTTAGATTTGTTCGAGTTGGTCACCTTTGTCACGAATTATGGCCTTTAAGAATATTTAAAAACGTAAAATGTTGCTCTGCGATATTTTGGCCTATTCCCGGCAAAGCGTTTGCTGGAGGTGATCGACGCTTTGGTTTTTTTTAGTGCCAACCTTGCTTTCCAAAATACTCCAGACACAATAGTCCAACGGATTGGTATCCGGAGATTTTAGTGGCCAATGTGCGCTGGAAATGAAGCGAGGAACCTCATTTTGTAACCATTCTTGGGTGGCGCGTGCTGAGTCCTGTTGGAATGTTCAAGGTCTGCGGCCAAAATGTTTGCGTACCCAAGGCTTTGATACACCCTCCAGAATATTTTCGCGACAATATTCGGCATTTATTCTGATGCCACGGTCGATTAATACGAGCGGAGAGCGACCATCGGGTGTTATGGCGGCCCACACCATCACCATGGCTGGCGCATGAGTTCTGGTGGCCAACCGAAGGTGCACATTTTCAGCTGACCACTTTGGCAAGTAAACACACTCATTTTTTTTTTTTTTTTTTTCTGTTTAAAAACTGCTGAACAGCGAATGTTTTCTCATCGGAGATCGGAGAAAACGACATTCGGCAATTCACCACTTTCGCCCAAGCGAAGCAACTCTTTTGAGTCTATTTTCTTTCTGTTGCGATGTAAGTTCTTGCAATTTTTGGAATTTCAATGGCTTTACCCTGCGGCCACTGCGACGCGGGTTTCGATCACGTCGCTTCTTTACTTTTCGAACCATTTCTGCTGATGTTGCTTGAAATCTGGAAAAATCTCACCAAAATGCTTTTGTACGCTTATAAACAATACAATGAGCTGTCACTGGAATAATTTTAATAGCTGTCGGAAATGACAGCTGTCTGAAGTTGGTTGCAGATTTTTTCATCTCACCCTGTATATATTTATAGTTTAACGGACGTAGTAAACCCGCTGGATTTCAAGCCGGCAAAAAGCTCTATGACAAATAAATTATTCGATTTTAATAAAACCGATTAGTCCCGCTTCTATGCAAAGTCTAACATTTTTAAAAAATATATTGAGGCTAAGAAAGTGAATATTAGAATGCCCCTAGATATTTAAAATCTCAATTCCATATTAAAACACCGACAAATCAATCATCGAGTCTAATGAAATTCTCGAAATTGTTGATACCCCAAGAGATCTGGTTTTCATTTTTCTTTTAACCAAATTATCATTACTAATCGCAATCACGTTATATCAATCACCCCATATCACACCCCAAAGGGTTAATCAATTATGCAAATGTATTTTTTTTTTATTTTTTCTAAGTTTTGGCCCAATCTATGGCTGTTGAACTTTAAAAGAAAGCAAACAAGCAGCACATCCAAAGAAATAAATACTCCGAATTCGCAAGACATGAAAACACAAAACAAACAATACAAATATAAGCAAAATAGCTGCCGTCACACAAATGTTTGTATTAGGACTTGGGAGTACATATCTGCTAGAGTGTCCCCGGCCAGGCCTGGCTATGTCTCTGTGTGTGAGTTTGTGGAAACCGCAGAGCATTGCAAAATAACAATCATTTAAAAATAGCAAATAAAATATAACAATAAAAGGTAAAAAATAAAATAAAAGAGCAAACACACACACACGCACACACTCGCAAAGAATGATAAACAAAAAATATTAATAATAATAAATCCACACGAATCAACAAAACAAGCAAACAAACGAAACCAAAAAAAAATGAAAGCCATAAAACGGAAATTGACGACTAAACCACTTCTCTATGGCGCTCTGGCAGTGGCGGCGGCATACACAGCAACATAAACAAAGAGCAAGAGAGAGACTCCCCAACATCAAAGTCACACAGAGAAAACGGGGTACCTATTTGGAGCAGCGGTGCTCAAAACCGTGTTCTAGAACATGAACAGAAAAAAGAGATAATTTAAGAGAAAAATAAAATTCTGTTTTTCTTTATATTTTACGGTTCTATTTAATTGTTTTTAAAAACGAATGTTTGCCAAAATAATTTATAAAGCAAATGGATAAAAAATATTTGTATAAATAATGACTTATCATTGTTTTGTTCTTGATTTAAATAAGCAAAGAGAAATTTGACAGGAAAGAGATATTTCTTCTTGAGCACCGCTGATTTGGAGACATTGTGAGAGAGAGAGACTTAAAGATATTTAACGTAAAGGAAATAAATAAATAAATCAAATAACAATAATTTTATTGAGAAATTATGAATTTAATAATGTTTTATTATTATAAATACCAAAATATGGTATATTTATTTCATTCAATAATAAAAAACGTATTAAATCACAAGCCTGCAATTTGTAGACTTCTTCATCGATCAGTGTGGCTAACCACATTTTGTTGCAAATCGCAAAAACGTTAAAATTAATAAATCCACATAGAGAAAGGAAAATAGCAATTGTTTTTTCCAACTATTTTATCACAACTTTAAAAAAAGATAGAAAAAACCAGTAAGGAATACCCAAAAGTCGGGCGGGGCCGAAAATATGATACCCTACACCATTATGCATATTTAGTAAAGTTCACGTAACAAAAGAGTTTATTTGAAGTAGCAGCCAATTCGAGATGGATTATATTAAAAAATATATCGTAGCCCAGTTCCATCAAATGGAAACGTACGTCCAGAAATTCACTCCATTTGGGCTGATATTATTCATTAATTGCACAATAAGTCTGAACTTGGGTAAAATATATATATGGGAGCTATATCCAAACCTCAAAATTAAACTTAAATTTCCGAGCTCTATAAGATATCCTGTTCCATATATCATTGTTTGTCTAATGCATATTACGAATGTGAGGAACTTAAAGACCAAACCGGATGAAATATATATATATGTGAGCTTAAGCAATATCTGAACCGATTTTCACCAAAGTTGTTGTACTTGCTTCTAGGCTGAATTTGGTCGGATGTACCAAAATTCAGGTCATTTGGACTGATATTGGACATTTTGTGCACAATTAACGCGAAATCGGTTAAAAATATATATGGGAGCTATATTCAAATCTTAGCTGATCGATAAAATTTGGCGAAGGTATTTCCGAGCTCTTTAAGATATCCACCTCCAAACCGTAACCACCAAATCTGATGAAACATATATGGGAGCTATAGCTAATCTGAACCGATTTTCACAAAAATTGATATATTTGCTTCTAAACTGAATTCGGTCTTATGGGCCAAAACTAGGGACATTTGGACTGATATTTTCCATTCAGGGCACAATTAACCCGAAATCGGTTGAAGATATATATAAGAGCTATATCTAAATTTGAACCCGATCGTATAATAAATACGACCTGTATTTTAAATACATGGGCAGACGGACGGACTGACATGCATCAATCGGCTCATAAAGTGATTCTATGGAGATCCTCAAAAGTAACTATGGGTAACTATCTTGCTTCATTCTCCATGTTACAAACAAATGCACAAAGACATAATACCCTTACCACTATGTTGTGTTCGGTATAAAAATAAACTGATAATGAAAATATAGACAAAGGGATAATCTCCCTTTCCATTTCCCAAAAAGAATCGAACGGATAAGGAAAGTTCTTGTCATCTGTTTTTTATAAACATTGTGTACGATAATTTCTCCAATAAAAATTAAACACATTAATTCTTATATGGATATATTTTTGTTATTTTTGAGATTCTTGCCATACTTTCATTTCAAATAGGTTATAATTCGGTATTTATGTCTTGTACCCAGTAGAAGACCTATTTTATATTAAAAGGTGCAATGAACGTCAAAATATACATAGGCTAGCAGTGTAAATCAACAAATTCAGATTTGGTTTTTTTTGTTAATTTTTTGGTTTAATTCCAAATTAAAATTGTTCATAAATTAGAAGCGATATAATCGCTTTATAGGTATACGAATTAAATAATTTATTAACATATTTAATAGGTTTTCTGAGTAGTTCCTCTAAAATAGTACATTTTTTTTTGTATGTAAGATCATTTCCCCTTCACTGTAAACTAATTGACAGATTGCTTAAGAAATAATCAAAAAATCACATCATTGACCACACTGACACCAGTTGGATACAAGGGAGAGTTTCTCTTTACACTCAGAAATTGGCGGCTTAATAGCGCTCTCACACAGCCATTGAGTGTTGTATCTCTGCGACGGGGCTGTAATTCAAGACAAACAAATCCGAAGAAGACAACAACGCCGAAGACGGAGACGACGTTGACTACTGACTGTATGTTGTGTGTGGCTGTGTGTGTGTGTTTGGTGGGCCCCCTCTTCAAGTCGAGTAAGCTTCATTCAGCAGTTTGCGTTGTTAGCTGTTACTTAAAGCACGGCTTAACGGCATTTTAAAATCGCTGGCGAGACCATTGATCGTTACCCTCCACTCCAAAGAACAACACTTCAGAATAGTATTTAAATCGTTGTCGTTCGGTCGGTTGGTTCGTCGGTTTTTTCTATTTTTAAATAAAAAGGAACGACGATTCCCTTTCAGTGGTGGTTGGCTGCCTGCTATACAATCTTAAATCCGCATTCTGTTTTATATAATGAACGTTGGCTTTGTTGTGCTCGCTTGTGTTTGCTTATAAAGTAGACAAAATGTATGGAAAAGTGCAAAACAAAAACACACACAATTGTTGTAATTGAAAACCATCGCCCAAGTTTAACTCAATATGAATGACAATTGAATGCAAATTACAAAGAAAACAAAATAGATAACAAAAAAACAAAACACGACAACAACAATCAATGTTGCGGCGATCACAAAAACAACAAGGCGAAAAAAGAAGCAACAGCAGCAATAAAATTGTATGAATTAAAAAAAATAAAATAAAAACACAAATTGACAATAATTCATTCGTCAAAGGCATCGTTTAGTTTTTTTTTTCTGTTTTCTCCCTTCGCATCGTCTATTCGTGTGTGTATGTACATTGTAAATTGCAATCAAAGAAAAGTGTGAACGACAACGACGACGACGACTTAAGAAACCCGTAGTAAAAGTGTTAAAAACCAAACTAATAGATTTTAAATTGTTCCGCTTTAACTCGGTTTGTTTGTTTGTTGGTGTTGCCTCGTCTTTCACCTCCAATTCATTTTCAAATGTGTGATTTTTCGCTGTGCAAAATAAAAAGATCGTTAACAGAAAGTCGTACCCCTCTTTGGCCGCACGCCCACTTGTTGGCGAAAACAAAACGAGCGTAAGCCCCCCTCTGCTCTTAGCGTTCTGTGCTTTCGGCCAAATAAACAATAGTTGTTGTCATACGCTCTTCGCGCCATCACACCATCATCATCATCATCAGTGTCGTCCATCGTCCGCCGTCTACAACAGCAGCAACAGACTGCTGCCGCCAAAGTTGGCTGTTTATTTTTGTTTTATTTTTCTTCGTTCTAAAGCAAATTATTATTCAAATCGGGTTCTTGATTATTGCGGTCCGCGACTGGCTGGTGGCGAAGAAAGAGCAGCCAACGTTTATGTGATCAGTGTCAGCAAAAAAAAGAAAGAAACAGAAAAAATACATACAAATTCGCCTCGCCATTCCAAGAAAAAACTAAAACGTTTTATTTCTACTTTTGCGCTTCCACAAAAAAATCAGAAGAAGAAAAAAAAACCAAAACCCAAATTCAAAGAAATATGCCAATAAAAATGCTTTCAAAAAAATCACATCAATAAATTTGTAATAAAAAAAAAATAATTATCAAGACTATCAGCACAACATCAAATCAAAGAGCAGGCGCTCACAAAAGGGAGAGAGTGAGAGAACGAGTAAAGGGTTAAAAAAACATATCTCAACTGCATTCCCTTCCCTAGACGAGCGACGACCATTCACTTCGTTGGCTCGTTCGTTCGTTCGTTTCTATTCAAACATGGATTACCTCTACATTGTTAATGCCTTCAAACAACAGCAACAACAATTTCTGCTGCATCAACAACAATTGCAACAACAGCTACAAGGTTCATCGTCATCGGGTATCGGCGGTGTTAACCCTTTGACGTTGCATCCGAATCAACACGACAATACCAATATGGCGAACAGTTTGCTGTGGCAACCCTGGCGGGATTTGCAACAGGCTGCCGCGGTGCATCATCATTTGTATCGACAGCAACAGCAGTTGCAGCAGCAGCAACAAATGCAAAAAGGTTTGTGAACGTCCCAAAAAAAATCGAAATGAGGCATTTATTATAATTCGGCAAACAATAATGTTTGAAAAAATTAATTTTTAGTGAAAATCAATGACAAAATAGCTAATGGATTTTAATTTGTTAAGGCAATATTTTTCGCGATCTTGGGAATTTGGAAGATGATTAACTCAAATGAATTTTCTCTATGAAATTTTATAATTTCTACACTGATATGTGAAATTTGAAGGTTAGACGACACCCAGTTTAACTTTCTCGTTTCTCTACAGAAAAGCTGTTTTCTCAGAGAGAGAAAAGTAAAGAGTACATGTAAAAAACGCTAAGTTAGACCGGACTGATTTTAAAAAAACCCTTCACCAATTTGTAAAGGAAACCATCAAAAATAAAAGTTTCTGGATTCAGTATTTGAATGAGTTCTATTTTAAACTGCTAATATCAGCGAACTGGGAATGTTATCTATTGCGAGTTTCAAATACACTGTGCGACAAAACTCAATTTTTTTTTATAACAATTCGAAAATTTTTAAATTTTATTGAATAAAAGCAAAAAATATCGGAATTAGCATCAAATTTTAGAATAAGTTTAGATTTGTTCGAATTGTTCACCTTTGACTCGAATTACGGCCTTCAAACGGCCAATGAAACCGTCACACTCTGCCCGAATGTTGTTCTGCGGTATTTTGGGCCATTCCCGGCTTGAGGTGATCGACAGTTTGGTATTTGTTAGTGCCAACCTTGCTTTCCAAAATACTCCAGACACAATAGTCCAACGGATTGGTATCCGGAGATTTTGGTGGCCATGCGCTGGAAATGAAGCGAGAACCTAATTTTGTAACCATTCTTGGGTGGCGCGTGCTGAGTCCTGTTGGAATGTCCAAGCTCTGCGGCCAAAATGTTTGCGTGACCAAGGCCTTAATACATCCTCCAGAATATTTTCGCGATAATATTCGGCATTTATTCTGATGCCACGGTCGATTAATACGAGCGAAGACCGACCATTGGCTTTTATGGCGGCCCACACCATCACCATGGCCGGCGCTTGAGTTCTGGTGGTCAACCGAAGGTGCACATTTTCAGCTGAACTCTTTGGCAAGTAAACACGATCATTTTGTTTGTTTACAAACTGCTGGACAACGAATATTTTCTCATCGGAGAAAACTAAATTCGGTGTAAGTTCTTGCACTTTTTGGAATTTCAATGGCTTTACCCCGAGCTCATTTTTCAATATTTGCCGAATGGAAAATTGCGATATGTTCAGCTCACGAGCTGAGTAAACAATATAATGAGCTGTCACTGGAATAATTTTAACAGCTGTCGAACGAGTGGCTTAGAAATGACAGCAGTCTGAAGTTGGTTGCACTTTTTTCATCTCACCCTGAAAATGGGGCAAGATCCCCTCTCTTCCACAATTTTCGGGCTAAGATTTCTTCGAATCTCTGCATTTTGGGTATATAGTGACTATGACAAATATTGTTGATAACAATACGAGAATTATTTTGGTCGGAAATGTTAATCCTCAAGCCAGTATCGAAAGGGGTATTTTTGGTCCTTTTTTAAAATATGCTTAAAAAACTCACTTTAAACGGGATCGGGCAATTAAAAATATTCTACAAATGCGAAAATTACTGACAAAATAATTATTTAAGTTTTGCAATGTTTTTCTCTGTTGTTCTTTTTATTTGTTTATTGCTCATAACATTACAGTAAATTATTTCTTAAAAATCTGTGAATTCCTACATTATTTCCCCTTGGAATGTTCTCTTTGCTATTCCGAACAAATAAACTACCTTAGTTCTCGTGACAATGTCAATAATTCCACAAAAAAGGCATTCTAATTTACATAAATTAATCATAAAATGTGCTGCACTATTCACCCACAACCACTAATCTTTCTAATTGTTTGAAAATGAAATTCTTGCACGATTTTAATTTTTAATTACTGAGAGGGAGAGGAAGTGAGAGAGAGAGAGAAAATATGAAAGACTTTGTTTGTTTGGTTTGTTATAGAATTTGATGAGGCGTCCCCCAGGCGACCAACACACTTCACATTCCTACTTTTAACAGTCATCGGATGGACATTTAATTTTATTGGATCTCCACACTTGGCACACACTCACGATGCGCCCCTTCAACTGGTGGCCGGCCCACCATTAAACCATTGTCGATTGTTGTATATAAATCATTTGTTTTTCTTTTTCCTCCCTCTCTCTTTCTCTTACTCTCTCCAGGCTGTTTTATTGAGTCACACATAAAATATTTGATTTGTAAATAACGTTATTATAAGGTAATAAATACAATAACAACAGCAACAACAACGACAATATTCAGGAATGTTAATAATCTATTTGTGTTTGCCCAATTCGTCGCCTTCAATCGAATTTGCATAAAATATCAGACAGCTAATTTACATTTTACTATTCTGTCAATATTTGTAGAATGATTTGGTATTTTGTTCACAGACCTCAGCTAATGGGGAATAAATTTTGAAAAATTCGTTACTGTTTTTTTTTTTTTTTTTTTTTTGAAAAGAAACAATAATAAACATGGAAAAATTCCATGATTAGAAATGCAAGCATCAGCATCGACAAAAAAGGGGATTTTTATTGAGAATTTCATTTTCGAGGTTGTGAGAGCGCCATCTGTTGGTGAGGTCATTCCTAGTGACCTAATTAACTTTTTTATAGAGAAACACAGCTTAATTGTCCAAAATTGTTAATGTCTATAAAAATTATAAAATTATATATTATTAAATGCTCAAAAGAAAATGCTTGATCTGGGATCTTCATGTACAAAGAAATGTTGGAAATTCTTCCATAAAGGTACTAAAAACTGCATTTTGATGTTAAAATTCTAAAATGTTCAAATTTTGAGAAATCAGATCAGTTGGTATTTTTGGAAATTTAAATAAAATTTAAAAAAAAATTAAAAATTAAGGCGTTTGACTTTGTTGCAGTTTTTTTTATCTCACCCTGTAGAGACAATAATACGTTTCCCAAAATATCTTCGTAGATGTCAGAAGAAATTAATTTACATAGTCGTAGAAGAATGAACATCAAAGGCTTAGAAATATTTATTGTAGAGGGTAACGTAATTACGGAACTAATTCACCCTTAGCATGACCTTTTCAATATTTTGCTGTCTTTCAATGAAGCCAACGCATTTTCGATCAACAAAAAAAAAATACATAAACAAAGTTCCCATTAAAATCTATTTTATTTCCAGTTTTCATATTGACCCCCATTAATATTATTATATATTTGTATATTTTTTTTTTTTTTTTTTTTTTTTTGATGATTTTATTGGCATAGACATCGTAAAACAAATTAAGCCACATAAAACAACATATTTTCCATGGAATTTTAATACAAAAAATTCCAAGAGTTTGTTATTATTTTTTTTTATTGTGAAAAATATGTTGGACACACTTCCCGGCGGCACATCACGAAACGCCTTCGCACTGACGGCATGACTGTTGATAAATTTATTTTGATGAAACAAACAAACAAAAAAAAATATCATCATTAAAAAATGTTTTTCTTGAATGGCCATTAAAATGTTAATCTAATATCTCTTTCAAAAAAGCCAAAAAAATTAAATAAATAAAGAAATAAATAGTCAGACAACAAAAGAAATGAATGGCATATTTTTAATCTTTTACAAAATATTAATCGTGTGTGGTTGTAAGAGTTTTTTTTTCGGCGTTTAGCAGCAGACTTGACTGATGATGTTAGAATCCCACGCAAAAATTTGTTGTTTTATTTCATAAACTATGTAAATTTCAAATGGATGCCAATATGAATGGGCATTGATGATGATGCCCAGGTAGTGGCGGCATATCTCTTCTCACGGCATGCGTCAGCAGTGGTGCGCGTGCGCATCCAATTTGGCAGACTAATTAAAATACAATTTTAATGGGTCCTATGGTGGGCGGCGTATTTTTTGTCATTCATAATTATTTGAAGGTATTACAAATTAACAACTTATGTTTTATTGTTTTCTTAATATAAAATAAAAATTTTCAAAATATTGTGTGTGGGATGTAGGGATTTTTTTTGTGGAGAAACTTAAGTTTGTGTACAAAAATCAATGAAAGGTATTAAAAGGCTAAATAAATTTTCATAGATTCCATCAAAAACAAAAATAAATTTTTAGAAGTAAAAATATATTTTTATTTCCAAGATTATTCTAAAAAAGGAGTAAATTATTTTTCTTTCTTTTAAATTGATATTTTTATTTCAAATCGATTAGATTTCCAAAAAATTCGCTCGAATTCGAGTAAAAAGTGAAAATAGCTTGAATTCGAACGGTAGAAACCCTGAGAGTAGAGAAAACAAAAGGAGCAAACTCTATTTTTCGGTTTCGCTTGTATAAGAGCGAGCTTGCTTTGGTCGTTTTAGAGTGGGAGCAGATTCTACTCTTATCGAAGACAGCGATATACAGGTTGAGATAAAAAACTGCAACAAAGTCAAACGCCATAATTTTTAATTTTTTTTTTACATTTTATTGAATGAAAGCAAAAATTGCCGGAAATAGCATCAAATTTTAGAATAAGTTTAGATTTGTTCGAATTGGTCAACTTTGGCACGAACTATGGTCTTCAAACGGCCAATGAAACCGTCACACGCTGCCCGAATGTTGCTCTGCTGTATTTTGACCCATTCCCCGCGAAACGCTTGCTTGAGGTGTTCGACACTTTGGTATTTTTTAGTGCCAACCTGCTTTACAAAAGCCTCCAGACACAATAGTCCAACGGATTGGTATCCTGAGATTTTGGTGGCCATTCTGCGCTGGAAATGAAGCGATTAACCTCATTTTGTAACCATTCTTGGGTGGCGCGTGCTGAGTCCTGTTGGAATGTCCATCCAAATGTTTGCGTGCCCAAGGCTTTAATACATCCTCCAGAATATATCGATTAATACGAGCGGAGAGCGACCATCGGCTGGCCCATACCATCACTATGGCCGGTGTTTGAGTTCTGGTGCCCAACCGAAGGTGCACATT